TGCAGGTAAATGAATGTGGAAGGAAAAAAGGACCTCAGGCTTACATGAGAAACCTGTTGCTCTTAAATCCATAATTTCTTTAGACTCAATAGATTTTTTCTATTAAAGTTAAAGTTAGTTTTTCTTGCTCTTAAATCAGAAAGAATATCATTGTTATTTGAGTTGAAGAAAAATATTTGCATGGCTTAATCAAGTTTAACCAACACTTTACTAACAGCTATATTTATATATTAATTATAGTTGCTTTTAATTTTGTTTGTTAGGGACATTTAATACATTTTTGGTTTAGGGATTGTGCAAATCCAGAAAGCGATTAGGTAAATAATTATGATAAGCAAGCTATATGAACACAGACATAGTGTTTCAATATGTAGAATTGGCACAATGGTATGGGTTGTCTTTGAGCAAGTACTGATGCTGCTTCTTTGTATCTAGGAGATCATTAAAAGATGGCCATAAGCTAAGAGTAGATGCTTAGAATTCAGAAAGCTGTAGATTCAGTTCTTAACATCTTTAGATCTAAATGGGAGATCTGTTTGAAATGCCTGTTGATGGCTATTAAGAAACTAGAAAAAGTTATGGAGTGACTGGGTATATCACATCTTCCTTGAATGTCATGCATTAAGTACATGCTATCTTTGCAGAATAATAGCAGTGACGCTACTGGGTTCATTTAATATACTAAGCTACTGTTCGGTTTTACTGTGGTTTATTGACTGTCATATTGTCCTGATTCATGTGTAATTCTAATTTAAAAACATGATTTATAGCAATGGTTTGTTTCATACATCGTGCTTAGTTAAAACTAAGCCATTTTCAGTAAGTGTGGTATTGCAATGTGGCAACAAAAGCCACACTACTCACATTGTGGGAACAAAGCAAAGATAGCTGCCATCATCCGTGAGAAAATAAATCATCTTATCCAGGGAGTACCAAGGTGGTGAAGATTGTAGCACATCACAAGAATAAATCTGCTCCACCTGCATTAAATGAGTTTATTTGTTGCATGCTCAGCAAAATTTGAGTACAGTCTCATCTATGTATTTCTGTTTGACTTTTCATTCAGAAGAGACTTACAGTAAGTACTTTATCCTCTCTTTATTTCTTATATTTTTCATCTACTTTTCATCTGTAATGGGAAGGCCAATATACATTTTTAAAGTATTCCCTATTTACCCTGCTTAATATCTCTATATGTTAGGCTGTCAACTATACAAGGGTACCTTTTTCACAATTTCTGATCACTCTTGTATTCTGAGGCTGGGGGACAGTTTTTACATCTCAGGAAAATAACAGAATAACAGAGTTGAAAAGGATCTTTCAGGTCTTCTAGTCCAACCCCTTACTCAAGCAGGAAATCACATACCATTTCAGACAAATGGTTATTGAATCTTTTTGTAATAATGTGGAAACAATCCACTGCAACCCCATGCAATTATGGATAGTGCAGCTGCGGATAACAGAAGTTTGAACCTAAGCTAAATGGGGGTTTAAATTCCATAACAATTGAAAAGTTATCTGATTTATTTGGTTCATAAAGGGAAATATGTTCTGTGATCATATGCCATTTTACTCAGCAGAGTTCTCCCCTGCACATTGCTTATTTTTACTGTGGGGAAGTACCTTGCAGAAAGAGAATGACAGTATAACATCAGAATGCAGCAGTTTGCTAGGATCACCAGGAAATCAAAGAGAATTCTATGAATGCACCAAATGATGGATGAAAGGAAACTGCAAACCTAAAAATGCAGATAATATCGAAACCATTTACTATGGACAATTTATTTAGATCTTTGTTTTTTAACCATGGATACTCAAAACCTGCAGATAATGAGGTTTACTGTATTAGCGTTTATTGTAAAAATTCCTTGCTAAATCACCTTGCTAAGGTGATTTAGTGTAATACTGTGTAAATTGCATTTTTGTTTACATATTTGTATGGCTTGTTTGCTTTCATTGCTTTATGACAGATAATATGATTTTGTTGCAATCATAAAAACTTAAGATAAACCTTGGAAATAACAAGGAATGTCCATGTTAAACATTGGGTAATATACTTCAAATAGATAACTCTTATAAACTATTAGAATTCATGGCATATTTAATATTATTAACTAGGGTACATTTTATTCTGTGGACATGGAAATTCTTTATGGTTTAGTACTACTATTAAACCAATAAGGAGCCCAAGTTAAAGCATCATTTTTATATGCTTGTAATTTATTCTGTGTAGTTGGAAAGAAGCATAAATATAACTTTCTTTTCCCTGATTCCTTGTTTGTAATTATGAAATCTCCAAATTATTTAATGAAGTGGAATGAATGTATAGGAAGAAGGCTTGC